TACTGGACTGCTGGACGTCCGGCGTACGCCTTACTGACCGCTGACTGCTACCGCGAGTGGCTAAGTGCCGCAGCTCGCGGGCAGGCGCATACATTGGCAGCCTACGCTGCTTGTGTGCCAACACGCTGCTGCCGCTACGTGCGGCAGCGCGTCTACAACCGGCTTTCACCAGCCGCCTGGTGAATGCCTTTGACAATCATGACCTTAAACAACCTACTATGACGTAGTATAAACATGGTTACAGAAATTAACTTGAAAATAGTGTTTTTCATATGATCGACTGAAAGGGGCCGTGGCGAGCGCGCCGTGCGCCGCCGACGGCTATACGCCGTCTCCCGACCAAAACACCTTCTCCCGCGGCAACTCCAGAACAACTTAACATGAACATTATTTTGAGGCAATTTAAGGCATAAACACACGGACGAACATGATCATTACTGAAGGCAATAAAACATAACCCGAGGCTGCCCGTGGCCACGCGCGATAAGCGCTAGCGACGGCTTGAGCCACTTCATCGTTAGAACATCATTTTGCCTCGACTAACATGGACTTACTGGACGTGAAATAAGCTAAACTGAACAATTAAACGTAAATAGTTCGAGAGTTGCCGGGTAAAATGAAAAATTATTCGATCACGATTTTACTTAGGCCCAATCGGACCTTAACACGGCCTTACTAAAAATTCTCGATCGTGAATCGAACACTTTAACTTAAAATGAACTTACGGCCATAAACGTAAGTCGAGGACGACTATACCTTCGTAATTACTCGCCGGAATATTGAAATTACTCAAGTTCTTGCGTGTGTGTGCCGGTGCGATACTCGCCGTGCGGTACTCCGTCGATTGCCGTGCGATGCTATGATATGTTTGAAGTAGGGAGCTGAAGCACTTGCTGAAAATATGAAATTTTGGGATGGGATATTTGCTGCTGAAAGAAGCACTATGTAGCTGCTGAAGAGGGATAATATATATGGCCGATCGTCTCTCTTATGGGAAAAGTGAAGAAAATTTCAACCAAACTAATGCTTATATACTTAGTGGCCATAGGATGGTGATGATGAGTGAAAGATGTGGCTTCATGAGGTCTTAACATTTGCTCTAAATTGGGATGATTTGTTGATGACTAATCCCTTCCTAAGGCTTACCATAATGCCACGTTTTTATGCCCAAAAAGAGAGGAGAATTAGCTTTCCAAATGTTCAAGAAAGCTCACGGCTTTAAGGATAAGTTGGGATGAATTAACACATAAGTCACGGTTTTGAACCTAATGTTGTGATTAGTTGCTCAATTAATCACTCAAAATATGTTTAATTATTAATTAAACATAATACTTAATTACCAAAATTATTCCGAACGTAAACGGTACGTCGAAAATATATTTTGGTAATCTCGACTGAAAATAATTAATTCCGAAAATGATAAACGTTAACATTATTATATCGGAATTAAAACATAATTTATACCGATAAAATATCGGGATATTACAGACACCGCCACAGTCGCACTTTATACATTATGCCATTGCACATTATACACCACTTCGTTGCACTTTACAGAACTAAATGCCGACACTTATCAACACGTTCACCACACACGTAATCTCAATAGTTCCGTATCAGAGATATCTGTATATGTATATATATATGTATATATATTGTCGCGCTATCATACCAAGAAAAGACGAAATCAAATCATAACAAGATACTAACATATTCATCCAAAACAATAGTGCTAGAATCAAACATCAGGTGACGGATGTACCAAGCGTTACGTCCTACGCATACATGTAGTAAAACAAAACATGCCAACAATACGACTAATGTGTCCAAACAACAAATGACACGTCACACGAAATCGCCTTTCTTCAGCTGGAACCTATTTGATTGTGCGAGGTTCTCATTTTTCATCTTGTTGAATGGAGCAAATGCAATGACGTAGCAATATCGCCTCCTCATGAGGTCGACCTGTCGCTTGTTAGCCCTCTTCACGTCCGGATTTCAATGTGGCGTGATGCGTCCTTTGAATGTCTCCATGTGACGCATCGTTACAACGCCGGCATCTACGACATCGACACCTTCGGTCCACGACAGATCGACAAAATCCGGCATCGATAGTGCGACTGCTTTTGAAGATTTTGACATACTCGTGTGTCCCATGTACTTGGCGAGAGATTGCCGCTGCAACAAATACACATATTATCATGTAACACAAAGACGTGAAAAAAGAACTACGGAAACAATAAAAGGACAAAACAAAACAAAGACGTCACGTGATAAATAAAATAAATAAATATCTACAAGAAAATATATATGTTACCAAGATAGTAGCATTAGACGAGACGGATTTCCTTATGGTGGCATCTTTACAGAAGCCGACGCTATCCAATATATATAATTTCTGATCGCCCGGGGAAATACAAATCAGCCCACTAAAACCATCAGAGTGCATGGGGAACACATACTGTAATTCAAACAAATGACCAGACGGTTATAATGTAACACAACTCATTATAATCAAGATCTAAAATGCAATAATTCGAGATACCAATGCAACTTTCTTCAAGTTATGTCCACACATTCGTCCGATATCTGAATCTAGCCTCTCTACGAACTTCTTGTAATTCACGTCCTTTTTTCGCTTTCCCTTAAAAAATAGCTGATATTCACAAATTTTTGTCGTAAATATTACTGAAACAACAAAGTAGATCAAATATCATAAGTATACTTCCAATACATCATAAATATATCACATTGCACCTCATTACACGGACGAGTGGTTGCAAAGAAACACGTTAACTGAGCCACGACTCCCGAGCTTCTCATTGCTGTTCATTATACGAGCCCATAGATCAATAAGTGCCTCGGGGATTGGCGTGTTCGGTGTCAAGCATGCCACAACATCTCTCTTCACAGCATAATCAAGTGACAGGGTCTGATATATAATCACATCGCTGTGTATAAAAAAATATTATGAACACAACAAAAAATATAATAAATAATTACAATGAATAATAAAGTTGATTACATAAAATAATAACACAATGGCACAACATAAATCTTACTCGTTAGCTTTTTGCAAAACCCAGTTAACAACTGCCTTTTCCTGGCTGTCCAGGTTCTTGACCACGTCAATATACCTTTGATTGAAAGGTGACTTAACCATGCTGGAAAACTTGGGACTCCTTTTTGGTCTACCAACATCAACAACAGGATCGTCAGTAATCGCATCGCCACCGGCACCTAGTCAACACATATGAAGCACCTAAATACAACCAGAACGAACAATATTAAAAATTATTTGAATATATAGAACGTATGGTACCTTGCACGCAATCGGGAATTGTATTTGCATCCAGTTCATTAACCACTGCATCGCGATCAACTTGAAAAAAAAAATAAAAAAGAGAGAAAAAGGTAAAAAATGGATGTCATCAAACACATGTATACAACAACAATCAGATGAGATAGTTATAAACGTGAACTGATTGACTCAAAATACCTGATGGAACGTCTACATTGGAAGGACCGTCAGTAGTGAATTCGTTGAGATTATTTAATCGTCCTGCATCAGCATCCTCATCATCCGGTGTAAGTCCCAAGCCCAAGCTAAAACTGGGGCCTTCATGATGAATACGTTTAAAACGGTCTCGATGCGCAACAGCATCGATAATAGCATCTAAGGCAGCCAGATTCTTGGGGTCGTTCCAGAATGCGTCATCCACTAACTGTGTTGGTCCGGGAACGGTAGGTCCGTCATTGGAGATGGGTGTTTGTTGACTAGACTTTCCTTTTACGTCTTCATTAGACACCCCAAGTAGCTTCTGTGCGGCACCCCGCATCTTAATAAAATTATCATCGCCTAATAAATCTTTAGGCGCCCTCTCGACTAGCTGTAAAATTTCAACACCCACAGTGGCAAGAATACGGTCTTTTGATGCAAATTCTTGAACAAAATCCAGTTATTATGAAAAATAAAAACAAAACATATAAAAAAATCAAAAAAATCAACCAGAAACACACACAATCATAATAACACGCATGATATCGTATGACAAACACATAAACAGAACTGGTACCAGTTGCACATAACTACTAGACAGACTGCACCATTATGTGTATACGGATGCACCGATTATCCATCACATATAAATCATATCGAATAACTAAAAATTTGAAGAATCATATAACCGTAAAGTAAACGAGCAATCAAGACAAAAAAAATACAATATACATTCTGATAAAATCACAATACATACCCATATCGAACATAGCATCACGATCAAGATAATACAGAAACATATATAGAAACATATATACACTACTGCTTTCGGTTGCACATAATTAATACGGTTGAACCGCCTATATGTCACATATAAACCATAACAAATAGTCAAAACACACATATACACTATTGGTGTCGGTTGCACATAATTAATGTACATGTTGAACTTTTCAGTGAACCCGATTGCACCAATTATACATAATGTATAAAACGAAACAAACATGCGACGATTCAAGAAACTGTAAACTTAAGATGAAAACGAGCAAGTATACAATAAACAATTTAGACAAACAAGACGAGACACAAACGGGCAATATCACACTACATATCCACCTCAATCAACGAAATATATCACGTGTGGGGAAACGCAAAAAAATATATGGTCATTTGATGCAAATTCATACATGAACGACTGAAACAATTAAAAGGGTAAACGAATCAATTAAACGTGTATACAACAATGCAAGTCATATGATGCAAAAAAAATAATTCGTACAACATCATATGCACTCAACGATACCAGACTGCACCAAATAACTACACACATTGCACAAATGTTATGCAGTTGTTGCACTGAAAGAAAAAAACTAAAAAATGGAAAAATGAAGACACAGAATAAATCAACTGTTATATACACTTACATGCACACTTACTTCTGACGTACAGTTCATGTCATTCCCAACGGGGCTGCCACTATGTATGTCGGCACGGTGATGACCATCCGACCCATGTATGTCATCATCAACATAACCTCTCCCAAATGCACCAGCCGCAACCTCGTCACGCTCTCTCGCTTTCAGCAAACCGTTATTCCATGATTTAAAAATCGGTAGTGATCTTGGAACGGATCTAATCGATAACACAACCTTGTCGACATAAAACAGCTACACGAACAGAAGACCACAATAACGCAAATAAATAAATAGTGATGAAACCAATAAAGTAAACAGAATAAACGTCATCGAGGATCGAATTCACATACCGTCAAAAATAGCAAAGGTCCAGTGAAATTCTTGCGCTTCTGACTAACATACCATGATTTCTTAGCACCCACCAGACACCGAATCATGTACGCACACCAGTTCATCTTGCTCACGTTCGATAAATCATCGAGCAAGTGAACCGTGCGTAAGTTCGCCACCCCGTTCTGAGAGCTCTCAAACAAACACGTGATCATTAGAACCAAAAAATGCCGTTTGAACCAGTCGTCGCTCCTATCACAACTCTGAATCATATCCAACACCTTTGTAGCCGTTATTTTGGTGGCAATGTTGACACTGTACACATCGACCCATTCTTTCAACGCTTCCGACTCTGTTTTTTTCTTCCGGTTTGTGACCTCAATATTCCCACGGGGCAGACCCATCACTCTATATGCATCGTCTTCTTTCACATGGATTTTCCCACAGTCATACAATTGCAGCTTCCGGTCCATATGGTTGAAGTTATCAACCAGCCAATATCCCATTTTCGTCGGTGTTGCTGTTATCGTCAAATCGAGCAAGCTTCCAAATCCCATATCGCGGACTGCACGTCTCTGGTCCTCAGACAGACCGGACACCGCCTTCACGAATATGGCTGGCGATGTTCGCGTGTGGATGGTCGGGAGTGCATCATCGATTACTGCCCGGGTATCCTCCAGTTTATGCGTACCACCTTTTTCGTTAACAGTCCGTTGCACTCTTACATCACCTGTAAGATATATAATCCTTTATACAATTTAGTATCGTGTAATGAAAACAAATATAGTGATCATAAGACGTATAACTTTATACCGACTCTCGTTGTCATTTTTTGGCAATGTTCTGTTTGAGTTTGATTGGCGTCCTTGCTTTCTGGCTGACTTGCCATTTTTGAACGTTTCGCACGTCCCGCTGCCCGATCCGGTGTAACAATCCTACGCTTGATTGCTGCGATTTATAAAACATTATACGAGCATATTACGTACAGTTGGTGCTAGTAGGTATTTGATTTTTTTAAACGTTCAATGCTCGTGTATATTAACATAAGCCACATGTAGATAACGTATAGAAAATAACACAAAACTCTTAGAAAAATGACATAACGACCTCTATCGCTTGGTTTTCCAATTAGTTGTTCATCCGTATTGTTGTTTATATATGCACAATACATATATTAGAATAAATAATTACACAATAAGTGATAAACAAAACTACAATATTCCAACTAAATTGAGACATTCAAACTCTGATAAGAAAACTTATAAAAAAGAAATAATTAATAGATTAATGACAAATTATTAAACCCCGAACAGTCGTATAGATGTAAATATCCACATATTGTAGTCACAGAACAGTTATTCATATAGAGATTTCATAAATAGTTACCTTGGTTTGGGTTACTGGACTTTGCGGTCGTATCGAATTGTTGTGCTGTATGTAGTCTTGTACTACGTCGAGCGGCAGGCCGGGTGTGTAATATCTGCTGTGGGTACATCGTCTACGGGATGGTCGTCATCAGGACGGTCGTTGACACGTTCTGGTGCATCGGGAGTTCGTTCCGGCACTGAATATGTACAACAAAATATTGTTGAGAACACACGTATAAAAGCAAAGAACACTGATATACGGATAGTTTATTCATATAAAGATAAACAGAATAGAAGAAAATAAGAATTAATAAGCTTATAAACAATAAAGAGTTAGAATATTAATGTCAACGATTAAATTGACACAGGTGAAAGTGTCACGTGAGAAATTGAATCCCACAGTCGTGTATATGTAATAGCAACGTATTTAATTCACAGGACAATTATAAAATATAGATATTTCATAAATAGTTACCTTCTTGTGGGTTACTAGACCGTGCAGTCGTAACGCTTTGTTGTACCGAAAGTAGATTTGTTCTACGTCGAGCGACGGGCTGATTCGGTGTAATATCTGATATGGGCACATCATCGTCAGGATGGTCGTTACCAGGGCGGTCGCTGACACGTCCCGGTGCATCGGGAGTTCTCTCTGGCACCGAATATGTACAACACTCGATGGTTCAGAATTCACGTATAAAAGCATGGAACACTAATAAACCGTTAGTTTAAAGCTGATAAGAACAACTTAATCAGATATTACAAATAGTGATAATATATATAATCACTAAAAGGGTAAATAGCAACAAACTAAACACAACATACGACACATCATAGAATGTACCTGTGTCGTTATTATGTGAACCTCCGTCGCCGTTATGTTCAGGTACGATGACGGGCTTCTTGCGGGTAGCACCTGCACACAAATCCAAAACAGATCATAATACCCACACACTTATTGGTTGCTCGAAAAAAAGTAGATCAAATCTACATCAATCTGAAACTAAAAAAATGTGGGAAACTACATGAACGGCCCAACAAATAAACATACACAAAACAACACCACTAAATATAATAAAACTATCAGAAGCGAAGGTACCATTATATATATATATATATATATTTTTTTTTTTCATCAGAGTACGATAAGAACTCAAAGAGGTTGTACAACACTAACGAACAGATCTTCATAGTATGAGATCTTACACATATCGTGAAATTTAACTATCTCCAAGATTTGAGATATTACACAACAATGGACGAACAACTCTTCATAGTACAAAAATATTACCTCGTTTCCTCGATTGGGGAGAGTTTCCCATATTCTGCAATTGACGAACTATCTCCAGAATCTGTAAGAAATTGAACTGTTAATCGCGTGAAAAACTCAGTATAATAAGGAAATAAGAACGGCTGCTACTCACGCGACGGAATCCGGTGAGAACTTGAGGTCAAACGTCCATCGAACGCTGAGAAACAGCCACCCCTACCCACAGATCTCGTCAATCAATTACAGACACCATTAATGAGCATTAAATCTGCCTTTACCCTAGGCTAATGGATGAAAGACTATATTACCCTCCTGTGTAGATATTTGTCCGAAAGAAATGTTCTATTTACGGTTGTGCCACCGCGAGGTCAACAGAGGAAAAATAGATGTTGACTATATCTTAGCCATTGAATTAACAGATCAAATGGTGCACAATTATTCTCATTTCCTTCACTAGAAACCATTCTCATATGATCCTTTACCTATATATATATATATATACATAGGTTTAACGAACTCCCTAACTAAGAATTTAATTGGCCTTTCCGGTGTTTTTCATTGTTTGATTCTTTTATTTATTTTTGTG